TGTTTTCTTTTGTTTTCTTTTTGATGGTGTATAGGGCTTGATAGAATGCATGAACTCCATGGTCATGTGAATTCTTAACACTCCTTCTCGAGAAAATATTCTCCTAGAGTAATGAAAAGTACAGAACATATTACTATGTGAATCTTTAATGTCATTCTTGAAAAAATATCATCTCTTTTCGATGGCAAAAAAGTTAACAAATAATTGCACATGGTAAAATTAATGGGCATTTGATGTGAGAGACGTACAAAATAATTTGATTATTAAATGGCCTATGGCTCGGAGAAAAATGAGCTTCACACATGCCCATCACCCCATAATGTAAATCGTACGAAGTAGGTATTCAATTAAAAAAATGGGCCATTGTTACTCCAGTAATGTTGGTAAAACAAGGGACAATTGCTTTGGGATGCCCCTTTCAATAGACTTATCACGTACCCCATAACCTATCACCATATTAATACAAATTTTGGGTGCTTCCCCTAAGAATTTCCCAGTGTAGACTCCAATGTAAATAATTCTCACTCCTACTGTGTACGGTGACTTGAAATTTACTGTGCACGCATAGATAATTTATTGTTGTTTTCCACCTGTGTCCACGTATACTTTTGTTCACATAGATCGTCATTTTCCACACCGTTTAAAGAGTCATTGTCATGTGGACAGATAGACGGAATACATATTTTTTTTTTTTGATGACATTTAAATGAAATGGTTGTAATTTTTTATTTTATTTTCTTTGGTAAACAAATGGTTTTGCTTTCATATTTAGCAAATCAAATTTATCATTATATTATTTAAATAAGGAAAAAAATCATAAAACTCTCCTATATTATCAAATTGGTGCAAAAATAACCCACTAAAATTAAAAACCCCCCTAAACTAAAAAATGGTTATCAAGTTGCCTCCAAATCAGTATAAAATGACAAAACTGCCCTTATAATTTAATGATTAAATTTAAAACTTATAATGTTATTGTAAGATTACAAAAATATTTCATAGTTTTCTTCCTCAACACCATCTCTCGTAACATTGTAAGTGCCCATCAACTCTTAATTCCTTTAAATTCCACTTCTTATCTCATTTTCTCACCAACCAAACACACTTCAACTAATATTTTCACTTGTAGTTAGAGCACATGTCAATCACATAGACACCAAGTTGTCTAGCACAGACGAAGAACTATCGAAGAACACCATGAACCACAAAATTACTGAAGAAAGTTTTTTGGGGTTTTCTCCTTTTCGGACTAAATATAGAAGGTTGGACAAAAAATATGTGAAAAACAATGTCAGTTCAATAGTGAAGGATATTAAATAATAGAGGATCAAGAAAGTTGGACAAGCAAAGCAAAGATTAAGTTCTAGAAATATAAGTAGGGCAAATTTATCCGGGTCTTCTTTGATGGGGTCAAAAGATGCAAATTTAGTCAGAAAAATTTGAAGGTTAAGAAGACAACAAAACTATGCAATTATATATAGCGAAATCTCAAACTCTTTAGTTTCTTTCAAGTGCTTTTTGGAATTTTTTTTTTTTTTTTGGTTGCTTTTGTTTTTCTCTACATATTATGTAAAATAGCTAGAATTGTTCAAAATTGAAGCGGAGTTTAAATTTTAATCTAATTAGTACTTTCTGTTTTGCTTTCAATTCTTTACTCCGATTTGCTCATAGTTTTGTTAATTTTGAAGATCCAGAACTCTTTAGTTGAAAGGCTTTCAATGTTAATGAAACTTTCAAATTCTTGATATATGAGTCAATCACTATGAATTTTTCGTGAAATTTGATTTGAGGAATTTTAGATAGCTGTGTTTTTCTTATATTTGGTGTAGTTTTTAAGCTATCGATGTGTGGAAGATAAGTGTCCGCGTTTTCCAGGTCGGAGCAACACAGGATATTTTAGAAAGAGACTAAGGGGTATTTTTATAATTTTACAATAATATTGTAAGTTCTAAATTTAATAATGGGTAAAGGGTAATAAACCCCCTGAACTTTCAACAAAAAACAGAAAACCCTCCTAAACTAAGTAATGCCCCGTAAACAATTTAAAAAGTGAATTTTAAGGACAAAATCAAAAGTTATTATTGCCGGAGGTAACCGGAGATACAAAATTACTAATGTATCATTTTGTAGAACGACAACGTCTTATTGCATTACTAACTGGTGTTGATGATTTGTCAAATTCAATCTCAAAACCCAATAGCAGTGTGACACATCGTCCTCTTATCATAATCACGTTCTACCCACTTCTTATTTTAGCACCAAACACCCCCTTATGTACACATCGTCCTCTTATCATAATCACGTTCTTTTGTTTACATTAATTTGAGGATAATTTTCATGTTATGGTTCTTTTGATGTTCTATTTTATGTTACTAAAATTGTTGGGTTTTTTTTTTTCCTTCAGTGACAAATGATTCCGCCATTCTCATCTTTTGAAAAATTGAGCCAAAAGAATGATTTAAAGACTTAAGATATCCATTCAGATTATGTGTGTATTTATCAATTGTAAGATTTGAGGGTTTGTAACTTTATGCCCAATATAACATATCCAATATACCATATGCGTATTACATATATGATATATATATATATATAAACATACATGGCGATGGCGATCAACAATTTGGGTTAAAGACTTAAGATATCCATTCAGATTATGTGTGTATTTATGAATTGTAAGATTTGAGGGTTTGTAACTTTATGCCCAATATAACATATACGTATTACATATATGATATATATAAAGCACACGACCAATACTCCTCTGTAATGATTGTGCTATATATATATATGTGTGTGTGTTGTATTTCCTTTAATTTTTTGCCACGAAAAAGGCCTTTTATCCATTTTATATTATCCTTATAGGAATAAAGGGTAATACTGTCATTTTGAAAATATATCTCAGGTCACGTGACGAAACAGTGTCGCCTGGTCCTTTTTGGCCAAAAAATGGATAGTTCGGGAGTTTTAACTTAAAAATAAAAGTTCAGGGGGGTTTCTTGGGAAAGAGAGTAAAGTTCATGAGGGTTTGTTGCACTTTACCCTTTAATAATTAAATTATCAGAACAATTTGGTCATTTTATACCGATTTGGGAGTAACTTGATAACATTTTTTAGTTTAAGGGGATTTTTAATTTTAGTGAGATTTTTTTACACCAATTTAATAATATAGCGAGTTTTGTGATTTTTTCCCTTTAAATAATTATGTTAAAGTAAAGGGTTATTGGGCTTATTCATTTAAGCCTCATCTATCGATAAGATAATAATAATAATAATAATAAAAATAAACTTCATTTTGTCTAAGATGTCAATTTAATTCGCCCCTTTCAATTAAAATGAGTTTGAAATTATCCTAATAGAATTAGTGACTGATTTAAAAGTTTAAAATCTGTCTAACTCCAAAACAACCCCAATTGTTTTAAAAAAACATATGTAAATATTGTTTTCTTATATGATAAAAAAAATAGTGGAGTATGGAGGCTTTTTTTAACCCAATTCAATCTGGACTTTTTTGTCCCTTCATTTTTTTTTTATTTAAAAAAAAAAAAAAAAAATTTATCGAAAAAGAGGGACTTCACATACTACACCTTTTTATATATATTCACGCTCCGCTTGATTTTTTTTTTTTTAATAGAAGTGGCAAATTTAGTTTTCAAAATAAAGTACAAAAAAGTAAACTACAAGTAATATCATTTTTTTTTTTTTTTAGTTAAAGAAGTAATATCATTTTTCCAATTCAAACTAGAGATGTTTTGTCTCTTGGCAAGGGTTTTGTTGTATTTCTACTTCTGCGTGTAACTGAGATATACTCGTATCAGGCTATTAATGAGGGCTATGAAGATTCATAACTGAAATTAGAAAAGCCAAATAATGCATTTATTGCACTTTAGGAATGGTCAGACGGGAAGCCTTAAGTCACCGATTAATGCAGCTGGATTGTCTCGCCAAAACAAGCCAAGCTCATCCTCTTCGTTTTTTTTTTCAAAACACTCCCGGTTCCTAATACCCGTGTAACTTTTTATTTTTTTATTATTCTAAAATAAATGTCTTATTTAAAAATTAAAAGTATCATTTTTTATAATATTACCAATTTAAATTTAAATTTAAATCATCACATTTTATATAGTCACAATGAATAAATTACAATAAAAAATAACAAAACTCATCATCTTAAAAAGTTATATTCTTTAAAAGGAACATTTATTTACTCAATCAACCTCTTAACATAAGTTATGTCCATCCTGTAAATTTTTTTAACACATTTAATCATACAAAAATTACTCTTTATATCAAAATTTATTTAGTGTAAATATGAATAAACCACTTAAATTTTTACATTCTCTCACTTTAAATTTAATTCCACAAAAAATATTCTTTATAACAAAAGTTAAATTATTCTTTGATCATCTCATATACGGAATATTTTGCTTTTTTTTTTTTTTGCAGTGAGATGTTTTAATATTGTCTACATCACGATGTAGATGTCATAACAATTGTCATTAGGGGACCAAATAATAAGACTAGTCTTCGTCAACAATGAAAATATGCTAAAAATAAATAAATAAAAATAAATAAATAAAAAACCCTCTTAGCAGGGTAATATACTCTAAAGCCAAAGTGGGAAATCGCAACACGTCGATTGTTACAAACGAGTCATACCATCATCACTTGTTTAACCATGTGTCTATATATGCATATATACATTTACTTTCTCTCTCTATGTATATATACGACTACGCGTATATGTATATACGGATTATGGGTTTAGTTACTTGTTTGGGGATTAAAGATGGTTGGTTGGAGGTTTGGTGAGGCTAATTTGTTTTTATTTTAAACAGTAAAAAGAGGGTCAGGGTATTTAAAGCCGGTCACCGACGTGGCATTTAATGGGCATATTGTCCCTGTGAAACGAATTTATCAACCACCAAGCACCCGCCAAACCATAATTTCTCATTTTTCTTCTAATTCATTCACTCTCTCTCTCTCTCTGCTCAACTGTCTCTCATAATTTCTTTTACCTTTTTATCAAATTGGTGTCAGTATCCAATCTCTCTCTCTCTCTCTCTCCCCACCCACATCTTCTGTATTTCTCTTTTAGTCCCTTGACTGAGAAAAGTTACAGCTCTCTCCCCCTATATATACTACATATTGCTCTCTCTGTGTATTGCACATAGAGTAGTCACTGACTGGTGTTGCAAAAGAGAAGAGCAAGTTCTCTAATAGTTACGCGATTTTAGGAAATGGGTATTTTCTCATTGTTGACTGGAATAGCAGGCCCAAGTGGGTTTGGATCAGCTTCAACTGCTGAACAGGTCACAGATGGGATTGATGCTACCAATCTCACTGCTATTATTACGGGTTAGACCTTTTTTTTTTTTCTTTTTCTTTTTCTTTTTTTTTCTTTTTGTATTTTATATTCATATGATAACATTAAAATTAGAATTTGAGAAAAGTAACTCAGAAAACAAATTGTTTTTGTTTTTAAATGTGTATATAGTTCATTCTCTCTTGCATGGCTGATGTTTGTATTTGGGTGTGACTGGGTTATGGAATGATTTCATAATCATATGATTCGGATTTTGTTGTGTTTCAAAAATTCGTTTCTGTATCATTTTCTGAACAGAGACCCTGAATGCTGGTTTTTATTTGTTTTTTTATTTTTTAATTGTTAGTTTGATTCAGCCCAAAAATAAAAGGAAAAGATTGCTAGATTTCATGATTTGTGACTAATGAGATTCATAACCTCTGATGAAATGATTTTTTCATCACAACTCACAAACATTAGATTCTTCATCTAACCATCTTTAAATTACTTTCCATCTCTCTCTCAACCCCCAAATTGGTTTGGGCTTTGTACCCTGCATCTTTGGGGTTTACATGGATTTATTTTTGGTTTCTGAAATTCCATTTTAGGCATGTTTCTTCTCGGTAATTGCAAGTATATTGGGCAAAAGAAGGTTTAAGTCCTTTTAGATGCTCCTCTTTTGAAAGGCAATAAGAGGACTTGAGCCTCCACATTTAGGATGAAAACCAGCAGAGTACTTAGCTTGTGGTAAGTCATTCTAGATGTAGATGGGTGGTGATTTAGCTTTCTTACTCTGCTTTATACCAAATTCCTTAAGAAGCCCCTTATTGTAATAAAATTTTACCTCCTGATTATCTTCAGCATTTTTTTTTCCTAAGATGAAAAACAAAATTTTCAATTTTTTTCTCTTTGAACATAACAATATGGTTTTGGTTCAAATTTAAGTTGATTCAAAGCAATATTTCAAATTTAGGTTGTAATGCAGCTTAAGGTAGATAAGTATTGATTTGCAAGTTGAACAGGTTGACCTCTGATCCTATCTTGATGGCCTATATATTAAATTTGAATTATATATTAAAGTTTTTTTGCCAAAAGATTTTGTTGGACAAGACTTGCAGCTGATTGTTGAAATTTCTGGTTGCAACAATTGGAGGAAGAGTATTATGGAAAGCCGGCACAAGACACTCTAATTTGAGAAAGCTGTACCCGAATATGAAGTGACACAATGAATAGGTTATGAGATGATCCCAAATAATTGGAATAAGTTTATGGGCATAGATTGTGATTAGCTTCAGGTATGTTGCATTTATCAAGATATAGGCTCATATATCCAACAATAAGTAGGTTACTAAGAATGTGTTGAAACTTTAAGAACAAGAACTGAAATCGAATAGAAGTTGTGCATGGAATGCTACCAAGGGGAAGCACAAGACCAAATAGAGTGGATGGGTGGAAAAAGATCTGCATAGCTAATTTGATTATAATAATTGTGGTGGCCTGCAATGTTATCTTTTGTTTGTCTTCAAGTTTAAGCCATTGTCACTCATTACATGTTCTGGGATAGAAATTTCAGATGTTGTTAATTAAAGCATTTTAATTTTGTTTCAGGCATATCTTGGTTCATTTTTATTTATTTATTTATTTTAAATACCAAATAGAAATGAAAATTTTGTTGCCATTTTAGGAGGGGCAAGTGGGATTGGCTTGGAAACGGCAAGAGTTTTAGCTCTTCGGAAGGCTCATGTCGTTATTGCCGCGAGGAACATCGACGCTGCAAATGAAGCAAAACATCTCATTCTTAAAGACAACGAAACTGCTCGTGTGGATGTCCTAAAACTAGACCTTTGCTCCATGAAGTCAATTAGAGCATTTGCTGACAAGTTCCATGCTCTTAATCTTCCCCTCAATGTCTTGATGTGATCTCTCTCTCTCTCTCTCTCTCTGTGTTTGTGTGTGGCATAGCGTGTTAAGGCAAATAATCTGTTTTGGTTTATTAAAATCATTGAGGATTGTGTTTTCAGTAACAATGCTGGTGTAATGTTCTGTCCCTACCAGCTTTCAGAAGATGGAATAGAAATGCAATTTGCAACAAATCACCTTGGTGGGTGCTAGGAAGTGTTGATTAAAATTTCCGGAGCTCTCATGTCTGCTCTTCATCTCATGATTGATTTTTTCAAAATGGTTGCTTATATCAGGTCATTTCCTCTTAACGAACCTTCTTCTTGACAAAATGAAGGGGACAGCAAAAGCTACTGGTATTGAGGGTAGGATTGTGAACTTGTCGTCTATAGCCCACCTCCACACCTACGAAGGAGGGATATCATTTGATAAGATTAATGATCAAAGGAGGTACGACCACTTGAGAAGTGGTTCCTTTTCTTGTCATTATTCATTGTCTAATATATTAGTACGAACCATTTGTTGTTCATAAATATACATACATACATACATACATACATACATACATATATATATATATATATATATATATATATATATATGAAGTTTAACATGTTCTTTCTCTTCCATTGTTTTCTCAAAACAGCTATTCTGACAAAAAGGCATATGGACAATCCAAATTAGCCAACATATTGCATGCCAACGAGCTATCTCGTCGTTTGCAGGTGATTCTGCTGCCTCTGTTTCTTAAAAGTGGGAGTGCCCACTGGAGAACTTAGGAATTATAATTCTTCAAGCATTCATCTTACTTATTATGACAGATAAACACAAACTTGATGTAAAATCCTAAATTCTGACTACCAGAATTTCTAGTAGGGGAATATCATGTGGCAGTAAATGAATATTTAAGTCAGTGAAGTTAATCATAGGGTACAAACTTAAAGGACTTCTTTTCTTTTCTTTCTTTTCACTAAATTGTGCCATAGCTTTCAACTTCGGTGGTTGAGGCCCTGACCTATAACCTTAACTGATAAGAAAAACAAAAGGTCATCAACTAAATTTCGATAATGGCAATATGGTCTACAGATTTAAAAGGTGATGATTGTGCTATGTTGGTTCACAATAATATGGTTGGAGAATTTTTCTGAGAAAAAAGGCTAAATACCGAATATTTTCTAGTGGTAGTTTCTAAATAACATTGTTTTGGTGCCTAACATTTATCTTGTAGCTTTTAGTTTTTGTATCATATTTCTTCACTTGACAGGAGGAGGGTGCAAATATTACAGTCAACTCAGTGCATCCAGGGTTAATAATGACAAATCTCATGAGACATTCTGCCCTTTTGATGAGTATGTACTCCAATGTTCTGCTTTGGAAAAATGGTCTACAGAACGAAGAGTCTAAAGTTTTCTTGTTCCAATTTTGTTCTTTCTGCAGGAGTTTTGAAGGTATTCACTTGTCCCATGTGGAAAAACGTCCCACAGGTAATCAATCATCTCTAGTCGAGAAAAGAAAAAAAGAGTTGTTCTGCACAAGAATGCTTTCTATTGATTGCTAAAATTATCTTTAATTTTTTAGTAGCTCCAGGAGTTATTACTTGGTCCCGGGTCCTGGGCCAATCACCATTGGACACATAAGCATTTGTATCGGAAATGTGCAAGCTTTTTTCATCTTTTTGCTTACTTGTCCAACGGTGATAGGCGGGGACCATCTAAAAATTTCTCATAGTAGCTCATCATAAAGTGGTTCCTTTGAATGATATGCAACACCTAGTTCTTCCAAGGAGACATCATACAAAGGCACTTGAAGGAAAGAGTACCATTAGCATTACCTTTTCACTTCACCTTTTAGGTCATTAAATTCACCATCTATCATTCTTTCTTTCTTGAAGTGCTCCAGTTCGTATGCTCTGTCATTACCATCTAATATATATATATATATATATATTTGTTAAATCCAATAAATAGTTGACGAGAATTGAACAAGATCAGTAATTGCACTTTGACATTGGATAACGACAATTTTATGGATTTTTTAAATTTATTCCAAGTGAACTATTTTGTAAATAGTGATACCATGTTGCTGAGTTTACACACCGGTTCTAGTCCTTTTCTGATCACCAACTTCATATCAGCTTTTAATGGTAATGACAAGACCATACCGGCAATACTAGCAAGTTATGGATTAGGGATATTCCGGTAACCTACATGCTTTAAGTATTTGAATAAATGATGCTAAAATTTGGTGATTTTATTTCCAGGGTGCAGCCACGACGTGCTATGTAGCACTTCACCCAAAGTTGAAAGGTGTAACCGGAAAGTATTTCTTGGACTGTAATGAGTATACACCGAGCAAGCTCGCTACAGATGAGGTGCTAGCTAAGAAACTCTGGGACTTCAGCAACAAGTTGGTTAACTCGGCTCAAAACAACTAAAATTACATGCTTGCCTGCTATACTCTCTGGAATTTCCCTTTTTATATCTGCAGTGAAAATAGCAGGCCTACTACTTCCCATCATTCACTTACTGGGTGTCGCTTCAGTCTCCGTTTAATTTGGTTTCTGTATAAGAATCTGCGTGTTTGTTTACAAGCTCCTTAAAATTTAAAATGTTTGTGAATCTGTATGTTTGTCTACAAGCTCTGTAAACTGTTTGTGAAATTACATGCAACTATAGTTACTAACTATGGAGATTGGGCAAAGTTTACATGAAATTTTTGCCTATCTATTGTTGTTGTGTGTGGATAAAACACACCTAGTTTAGCAACACATCTTTACCTTACAGTATTCAAACTTTTGGATTGGCTGAGCTATGGAGGATTATGCTGTGGTGGTGGATTTTACATCACATTTGAGCCGAGGCAAAATTAATTGGATTGGTTTGGCCTAAGTTGGTGAATAGTCACTTGTTTCAAGTAGTGCAATTATAATTTGAAACCAAGAAAACGGAAGGAAATTTGCCACTGCCACCACCACCCTTCCTGTCTCTCCAAAACACACACACACACACACAAACTATGAGAAACACCTATAAGTTAATGAATAAAACTATAGAGTGCTTCATGAGAGAGTGAGAGGGAGAGAGAGAGACAGTGCTGAAGGGGGGGGGGGGGGGGGGGGGGGGGGGGGGAGGAAGGATTAGCCTGTGCTTAGGGACTTATTTTACGAGCCAAAAAGAAAGAAGAGTCAGCGAGCGAGCTACCAATGACCACCTTTTTTTATAGTAAAAAGTTGCGGATAAGAAAAAGGGAAGAATATAAAACACAACAAATTTGGCCAACTAACCTAGAAATGAAGAATTGATTTAAGGTAAAATAATATCCTAATAATTTGATTTTACTTAATGGTTGGCCTATTTAACTTTAGTTGTTAAAAAATAGCTAATATTTTAATTAAATGACAGAACAACGACTACAAGTAGATGACAAAAGTAATAATATAAAATTCAACGGCGTAAAATATGTTAATTTGAAATGATTTTTCTTTTCTTCAAAAGTTGAAGCAAACAGGCACACCCACAAGGGCCCCTTGTTGGGCTCCAATTCTCAACATTCCCTTTTAACATACCATCCACAATGTTGCATCTTAATCATGAGGCACAAAAATCACCACCACCTATTATAATTGCCCCAACATCCTTCTCCAAGTGTATAACTCAATCAGAATCTCATGTTCTCCTGATCAAATTAGGATACCTAAGGCTAAAACAATGGAAGAATTGTAATGAAATCATATATGTTAGGTTTGGGAGCACTGTGCTTCCGACCCCAAATTCAAGCCGCTTCGGTACTTCTAGACATATTTGGTGCTCCCAAACATACCAATAGGGTATAGAATATAATGGAAGAAACAAGAAAAGAATGTAAACAAGACCAAAATGGGAATTAAATAGAAGATGTTAAGGGTTGCGGTGCCACAACACTTTTCAGTTAACTGCTAGCATCTACTATCCCAATTTACTGTTTAATCTTGTAAAAACACAAACATGGCTGCTCAAAAGAGTTAACAGCAACCTGAAAGTTAACCACAGACGCAGCAGAGAATCTCTTTTTCTTAAGAAGAAAAAATCATTAGGAGTTGATTTAACCACCAAATACACCAAGGTGTACACCAAACCTCAAATACACACAACAAAAAAATATTGGTCTTGTTGTAGAATCTGATGAAGAAGATAGGCGAAAGAGGGGGATAAATTAACACGTAAAGGAAGCTGGGTTGTAGAATCTGATGAACCAACACGTAAAGATAGGCGAAAGAGGGGGATAAACCAACACGTAAAGGAAGCTGGGTAGTAGAATCTGATGAAGATAGGCGAGAGAGGGGGATAAATCAACACGTAAAGGAAGCTGGGTTGTAGAATCTGATGAAGAAGATAGGCCAAAGAGAGAGAAATTAACACGTAAAGGAAGCTGGGTTGTAGCATCAGATGAAGAAGACGGACGAAAGAAAGAAAAGGGAGAAGTAACACGTAAAGGAAGCTGTAAGATTTGAAAATCAGAACTCAAATGCACGTCAAGGAAGAGAATCGCCTAAGCATAACTCCACGAGTTATAACGAAAAAAATTGGTGGAAATTTCAACAGTGATGAAGTCTCTTGGTTTAGAATCCTCATCAAGTAATAAGCTAGCTATATATATTTTAGAGAATATGTCGATCAATATGGACAAATGGTCAAATATTTCATTAGATACTAGTATATGATAAAGCATAGAAAGCTCACCCAACTTGTTATTAACACTCCTCCAAGTTCCATCGCAGAAAAAATTGGAAAAAATTGCTTAAAAGTATCCAAAGGGATGATCTCATCTAGAAAATAAAACACTACAAAGACGAAGAATAGAGCAACGGATCTGGTTCTCAATATGCACATACAAATATCAGCACTTGGCAGGGGAAAAAAACATGCCATTTTTATCATACCAAAAAGGAAAATAAGAGGGTCAAATATCCATTTATTTTTAACAAAGAAAAAGAAAAAGGAAAAACAAAATCTAAAGGCACCATTTACTCCCCCACAAACTGTTACGTATTAGCTTGTAGACGTCAGACTACAAGTAAGCCGCTCAATGCATAGGTTCTACAGATATCAAATCACAAGATATACCATAAACCGCAAATGTCATTCAAAGTAATAGAACACTGTATGGTAGCACCTGCTTATCAAATATGATATCTAAACAGGTTCTCCATCCCACAGACTATAAACATTTCACTCCCATAAGATCGCATCAAGGAATACCCTATTGCAAATTCACAATGCATAGGCAACCATATTTAACAAGCACGGCTTCTGATAACGTCAAGGCCCATCTCAGTTGGATCGGTAGCTTGCAGTTCTACCTGGATTCCATCTAGCTCTCTTTTGAATCTGTCCTTGGAGCTAGCATAAATCATCTTGCTTCTGACCCTTGATGTATCAGGAGACCTTCATCAAACAAGAAAAACAAATATAACTTAATTGACTATGATCGTAAGGGGAGTCTGATGAATTAATTGAATTGCTGGAATATTCCTTTACCATGCAATGAAGAAAATCCTGCTTTTCTGGCAATTCTCCGCAGTCACGAAATCAAAATCATAGACAGCATATCGACATTCGTCAGCAGGAAGACTGGCAGTGAAATCCTCATAGCTTTGGGCCGGTTCACCAACCTTTTCCACGACAACTTGCTTCTGCTTCTCCTCTATCTTGAAAACTATGAAGCGGTAAGTTCTTTTTGCCTTTAGTTCCAAAAACCTTAACTTGCAATCGTCATGCACTGCCATCCCAGATGCTGCATTGGCCTGTAAATTGATGATCATCGCCAAGGTGAATCAACTCTCGTGAATTTATCTTTTTCTTGATCATTAATAGAAGAGAACATATCAAAACCAACTATATTAAACAAATGAGTACAAGAGCATAAATTCATTCATAAACAAGAACCCATTCAAAATATTTGACCATAAAGCTCAGTAGAAGCTGTAATTCTTCCCTTAAACAGATCCATGTAACTACTACTCAGTTGGGTAACTTGGTCGCTGAAAAAAATGTCATCATTTTCCTAAATACACATAGGACTAAAAAAAACACTAATGTAAATTTAACTAAAGTCTATGCCTCCTTATCTGGCTTAGATGGGTAGAATCTTTCCTTTTTGTAGTGACTAAGAGAAACAATCCAAAACTTAATTCCATGCCCTTCCTTTTCCTCCATTCGCAGCCACCAAACATTGTCAAAAAGCTCAATAGAATAGGAAAAATCTAGCATAGACATTAGATCCAATTTGATGCACAAGTGCTTCTACTGCTTTTAAATAAGAAGCCTTTGTATCCTAATGCACATATTTAATTTATTACAAGCTATTGGAGTGGGATTTTCCTCTTGGAAATATGAACTGAATAGATAACAAGATCATTCCACTACATTTTTCACAATTCCTGAAAGATAATTTATTACTAGACCTGCTGAACAAATTCTTTTCATTTACATCCAGATCACAAATGCTTCAAATCCATATTACATCAGCAATCAGCAGCAACAATTAATTAAAAATTCCAGAAAATTATAAATTAAAAAAAAAAAACGTTAAAACCAACCAGTTGATTATTGATTATATATATCCACAACATTTCCAGGTGTATTTATTACCGTTATCAGATACATGTAATCGGGTATCAGGTATATAAAATCAAAACAAAAATCAAATCAGATCCGAAGATTAGCAAAACAAAACCAATAAGAATAACGATCAACTAAAAATCCACATAAATCGCTTGAATTTAAGCTAAAATTAGCTTTATAATTAGATCGATCTATCAAACACCGAATTCAATGTACAAATATATACAGAGAAATTTAAAAATATGTAGAGAGAGCTTGAAGACTCACCATTTTGTGGACTTAACGTGGAGTAGAGAGAACTATCTACAGATACGCGGAAGAGGAGAAAATTGTGAGAGAGACTCCGAGAACGAGGGCTCCGTGAATAAAAATTGTACCCCAATTTATATCGTGATTCCGGTTGTAGATAAAGAATGGTGTGAGTGAAATCTGGACCGATGACAGAGTTTGGAGGAGTCGGCTTTTACGAAATCGGCTGATGAGGGTTGAGATGGTGAGACACGACGTCGTAAATTCAATAAATAAATAGAAAAGTCCACTTTTGTGTTCTTTTTTGAAATTTTGTCACGTATCATTCGAATGCCGAGAATATGATATCGTGTAGCATTTTCCTTCAGCTAATCATCACTATATGATTTTTATCTTTGCCGAAAAATAAATAAATTGCAACACATAATTTTGAGAAAAATGTTAACTCCATGCTTGCAAAACTAAAATAGTGGAAATAAAAAAAAAGAATGATTTATATATATAATAAAACTAACTGTTCTAAAAATAATTAAATGAATTAAGGATGGCAATTCATATATTGGCGGATTGTATTATTGTGGTGTCAATATATGAGTATTTTTTTAAATAGGTCGACAAGAATACGACACGTGTCAAAAAATCTTGACATGAACATAACACGATTAATATATGAGTAACGTAACACGAAACGGTATTTTATAAATGAATCAAGACTTGAAACGATATTTTTTAAATCAATTTTTACACAAACATGACATTTTAACTAAATAGAACATTTTAGTTAAGGGGACTAGTTAAAATTCAAATACAAAGTTAGGCTCCGGTATTATTATAAAATAGGATAAATTACTGTGACATTTTTTTTTTTGCACCTATAAAATTTGATCAAAATTGGGATTGTTAATCATTGCAAAAAACATTTACCATTTTACCCTTATTGTCGTGCAATGTATAAATTTCTCCACCACTAAGTACTAACCTAAAATACAAATATTAAATGGCATAAATGTAGTCCTTTGAGAATGTTTATACTTTATACTAACAGCCCAAAACCATGCCATATATTTGGTTTCACAGTCCGAACTTTCAAAATTAAGCATTGCAACTGGTAACGGCCGAAGCAAAGATGTTGATACATTATTTTATTATTATTATTATTATTTTTTGTGTAGTTTCACGGGCCCATTTTAACTTTTGGAGATCCATTCTCAATAAAAAATAAATCAACCATGAATACATACTAGTCTTTTCTTGTAGCATGCATTGTTTTTCAGCCAAATAATCAAATTCCTTCATTTAGAATTTTGTTTTGTATTTTTAAAATTATAAGAAGACAACTGATTTTTTTTTTTTTTTGGCTGCTTGTGATTGTTAATTGTTCCACCAAAATTCTAAATTTAGCCTCCCCTTGGTCTACCTCACGTGGCCTCTTATACATACATTCAAACAGGCACCTAATACAAATTGACAACAAAAAAGTTCTCTTAAAGTATCGTGATAATATAATAACATGGTATCATTAATTAATTAATCACTCACACATATGACTACTAAAATAGATACATTTTTATTTTATTTGACGAAATATAATTAGTTGGCGTGACACATAATATAAGCAAGTGGTATTCAAGACCTTCTAAATTGCTTGGAAATCCAACCTTTACTGTCAAAAATGTTACCCTCGGTATGTTCAATTATATTCATAACGTTTTCTTTTGTAACTTTTTGACCAAATTTTATGAGAATGACAATTTTACCATTATCTTGTATGAAAATTTTGTCAAAAAGTTGGGTATTGTTATCTTTTACATTCAAAGTCGTCTTTTAATAATCAATGAATGAATTTAGCGGATATTAAAGTAATAAACGATCTATTCGTATACAATTTGTTCAAACTATCAAACAACTCTATCGTACTAGTCAAATAAATTATATGAGTTCTTTCTTAAATTATTCTTTAATGAATAAAAAAAATTATTTTTAATTTCAAAACAAATTTATCTTTAAAAGAATAGTAGTTGTTGTATGCACGATTACCCCACTGTCCACAATTGATCACCAATTGGATATCAAACACATTGAATCATGTGCTTTATTTTTTATTTTGGGTAAAGTGAAAAAAAAATCATCATTATATAAAAAATGTGCAAAAAAAACATCTATTATATATATATATATAAAAATGTGCAAGAAATAACCCCTTTTTTATAAAATGCATATAAATTTCTGTATTTAAAAAATTGATAGCAAATTGTCGTTGATTGTAAATTTTAATCAAATTTTTTTTATATATATATAAATTCCAAAATACCCTTAAGGGAAATTTAGGCATTTTTTTAAAAATGAAAAAAAAAAACAAAAAACAAAGAACAAAAAATAATTTTTTTTTTTGGTGTTTTATAAACTTTTAAAAAAATGCAATTATTTTTATTATTTATTTATTTATATTTTAATTTTCCTTTTTTAGTATTTTTTTTACATATTTTATTTTATCTTAAAGAAATTTTAATTATTTCATCCTTTCAAATTGGAGAATTATTCATATTTACTCAATTTGAAAAATGAAAGAGATTTTTGTTAACACCCTATTTGTAGGTTCTGTATATAGAGCAGTTTTTTTTGGTTGCACTTTACCCTTTTATTTTTTTAAGACACTACACGTGCATTTTGATTCGCTGATCGTAGTGCTCACTTCTCTCAACTCTCCCTACTCTCACAGCCACTGTGAAAACCCTAATTACTCTCTCACTCCTCAATCCTCACAAACCCAATGTCTCAATGTGCTACTTACTACCCCTCCATCAGATTCACAGAACTCAACAACTGTCGAAAGGTCAGTGTTAGTTTCCCAAAATTCTTTCTGATTTCTTCCACTTTCCGTTTGGTTCCCGAGAAATGCTGATAAAAATAAAATAAGATAAAATCTTGACCCTTTTATTTTTCATTGTTTGGGACGAAAAGAACTAAAATTGCTTCAGTTAACTGATCTTAATTCAACTGAGTGGTTTTGTTGAGTTTTGGGTGGTTTCTGCTTTCAAGTTGTCAGCTTTGGGCTTTCCAGTAAAACAAGAGATTGAATTATTAAAATTTGAATTGTTTGGAAGCATATATTTTGAGTATTTTGGTCTATTCGAATTGAGTTGCTCATATTCTCAAATATTTTTTTTACTATCTCTTGTTTTCTTTCTTAGCAAACAAATGGAAGGTAGGTCAGGTTAAACCAGTAGCATGTGGTTTTATTAATTATTTATACATATATATGTATATAAGAGGAATGTTATTTTACAGAACTTGCGCTCCTTTGGTTCTTCTCGGAGGGAGTATAGGGTATTCACCATTTCGTCAACTGCAAATGAGATGTCAAATCACATACCAGCAGCTCCAATTTTTCTGCCCGAAGGGCCATGGAAGCAGGTAAATTTCGGTGATGTTTTAGTTTCGTATGATTAGAGTTTTATTTAGTTATTTTTTCCCTTATTTTGCAATTAGTTGGCTCAATCATAATCAACATAGCATCTGAAACTACAAATAATGGGGCCATTTAGGAAAAAAATGGTTGTTATAGTACATTTATAAATAGAAACTGCATGGAGTTAGCTTGTTAGGATTCCATGAAAGGCAGCATTTCATATTATTAACTCTCTTTTTATGATTGCTACCATTTTCTACTGGCACCACCATGTATGATGATGAATTTGTACCTTCGATAACTAAGTAGTACATGTTATGGGCCTAGCCGTTTCCATGGCATCGGCGAAACACAAGTTAAGTGTTGGTGGCTGCATTCTAAAACTAGTTTATCAAATTGATGTGTGTGTGTGTGTGTGTGTTTTGTACGTGTGTACAGAGAGAGAGAGAGTTTGAGAATTAGCTTTCTTACATGTAGGAGGATCAAATTAGGTTTGGTTTTTACAAGTTTAGCAATTTTTCGTTGTTAATATTACATTAATATTGTGAAAATACTCAGCTTCTGACTCCAAATTTTGACTGTCAGGATATATGATTTTACGTGGTTATTTTTAAAGAAATTAACCATTTACCGTTATATGGGCTGTAATTGTCTAGATTCCTGGGGGAGTTACTGCTGCAAAAGGATTCAAAGCTGCAGGGATGTATGGTGGATTGCGTGCCAAAGGGGAGAAGCCTGATCTTGCGCTCATCACTTGTGATGTGGATGCCATATCTGCAGGTCATTGTTCGTTTTGATGGTACCCTAATGTGGACATCATATCTTAACTTGCATTTATTTTGGCTCACAGTGATTATATCTTCCTGCAATTTGACCTCCCACGAGTTTTATGCTTTTGAAATTTTACAGCACATCAAGGAAGATATTAAGGGAAATAACATGTGATATTCCATCTCTTAACCCTTTTATATACAATATTTTCCAGGGGCATTTACTACAAATGTGGTTGCAGCTGCACCAGTATTATACTGCAAAAACGCATTAAACATTTCAACAACGGTGGGTCAAAGTGATGCATTGGCCTATTTGATTCAATTATTTTGTTTGAAATGGTGAACTTGTGGAAAGTATTGGATTAACTTGTCATAAAAAAAAAAAAAAAAAAAAAAACGTCACATGCAAATAACACAACTCAACTCATTCAACATACCTTTAGTTCCATCCCAATTATTTATGTTAAATTAAGTACTGAGCATGTTATATCAGGTATGATTTTAACAATCAGATACCGTGGTTGTATTGCTTTCTCCTACAAACACAATAATTTTCCTTTGTCAGATTGGATGGTTAGAATTATCTGATAGGTCGACTTTTACATGGGAGATATAATAGTTCTAATCCACCATGTGATGATTCTTTAAACACATCTATCATCTTAAAACTCCGTTTTTCATCATCACCACCACCATCATCATCATCATCCTTGCCTTAATTCTGTAATCTTAAAACTCCGTATTTGCAGTATGCGTATAATTTTTTAAGTGATTTTGTGACATCAGATTTTGTACATGTTCTTTGTTGTGAAAACGAGGTGCATTACATTTCTTTAAATAAAAAAATAAAAAGCTGACGGTGATTTGTGTGTTTAACCGTCTTCCTCTCTATTATCAGAGCATGAATATAATGCAATGAAGGTTCAATGATTTCCATCCAAGCAACCTAAAATTTCTGCTTATCTGGGGTAAGAAATCTTGTATGGTAGAGAACCAATGAATAAAGTGTTGTCTGTTATTTTGTTCATCTTTTTGGTTCCCCCCTCCCCAGTTTTCTTCCCCTACCTTTATGTGTTCCCTACAAGAGGTTTCTGGAGAAGATGGATTCATATTGCAGATCCTATAAGTCAGGATTAAGGTTTGTTGAGTTCATGTTTTTCTGAAGCAGCTATTTGAAGTAGCTAATTAAAAAATTCAAGTACATCTGTACCGTGAGTTTGTATTAAAAATTATATAAAATCTGGTCCTCATGGCTGAATGCTGATAAATTAGTTAAATCTATTTTTCATTAAAGTTTGGGTTCTCTTGAATGGTCAATTCTCTCGATTGTCTTCTAATGACTTGATTGCAATTTTTGTCAGGCACGTGCAATATTAATAAATGCTGGTCAAGCAAATGCAGCAACGGTAAGCTGTATCAGAGACTCGAAATAGCTTGATATTACACATTCATCATTCTGGCAAGGACTGTCTGTCAAAGAATTAATATTAATGTGTTCTTTTTTTTTTTGGTTGTTTCAATTTATATAAAGCTTAGCAGTAACAAATGTAGAATGTTTTCCTTTCTTTAAGTTTTACCTGCTAAAGTAAACAAGCAGATTTCTGTCAGTCGCCTTGATAACATGCTATTACTGTAATAGAGAACTGACTGTTATGTGGCTAAGAGACCTTGAAATGATTTCCAGGGGGATGCTGGTTACCAAGATGTAATAGAATGTTCAAACGCCCTTGCTGGGGTATGCACTCTGAATGTTGTTGATTGCCTCATTCTTATTGGGAACCTGTACAGGCATGAACTTGTATACACTTGTTAATACCAGTGTACTATTATTGCAGCTACTCCAGCTGAAGCCAGAGGAAGTGTTGATTGAATCCACCGGTGTAATAGGTCAAAGAATAAAGAAGGTTAACAAGGGAAAAGTGTACATGTTTCCTGCGATAATAATCATAAATTCAAACTTATGTGTCTTACTTTCTTGTAAAACAACTAAGCTGATGGTTAAAACATAATGCTTGTTTGAACTGACATATTCATGCTTTGTTCCTTCTGAACATTTTTAACATCATAATATTTATATTGTATGCAGGAGGCCCTTCTCAATTCACTTCCAAAACTAGTTAATTTGCTGTCATCAACTACTGAGGGGTAATTCTGGTACTTCTATCATTAAAGTCTTGTTTGGCAATTTGATATGATTCCATGCTCAAGAAGGAACTTGGATTTATCTGTTTTACCTATTAGGATCTGTGATGAGAATTTGATTTTCTTTTATGGCTTCTCTTTTTAATATTCTCATTTTTATTTCACTGGAATGATGCAGCCTTAATTTTCCGTTTCAATTTTGATCATCTTTTTGTATCCTTTTATGTCCTCTTCTGTTCAAACATTCTTGAATCTCATTAGCGGATTTGCAGGGCAGATTCTGCCGCTGTGGCTATTACAACCACTGACCTTGTGAGCAAGAGTGTGGCAGTTGAGTCTAAGGTATACATGAAACAATCTTTACATGTTCATGTGCGCATGCTATAATTTCAATTATCAAGCGATGTGATCATCTGTATCAGTTAATATTGTTACTGATACTGGGAAGCAATCTGCTATGGTTTCATAAGCAAAACACTTGATTTTCTTATTTATTGGGGGTAATACAGATACAATATTGATATCCAGCACCAAAGCAATGTGAATTTTACTTGTCAAATTTATTGATTTCTTGTTATATACTTTAATTCTAGGGTAAATTACCCTGACCACCCCTGAGGTTTAGGCTTATTACCTATAGATGAAAGTTTTTAAAAAATTACTCTGACACCCCCTTATTTGAGTGACTATCCAAATGTCCCTTGGGATTTTACCATACTACCCTCATCATTATTATATGAGTATTTATTTTCCCTTTGTTGCTTATGAAATCTTTAATAAAATGAATTTACCGAATCACACCACCACTGCCAAACTCACCCCCTCCTCCACAACACCTCTCTCTCCTCCTGGCTGCCATGACCACCACTTCTCTGCCATCCCCACACTTTATTTTCTCTCATATATATATAATTGTAGCCCTCTATTGGTTGCCCGCATGACCCCAAAATTTGGTTTTTTATTTTCAGAGGAAAAGAATGATTTTCACCAACCTATCTAATTCAAAGTGAGGGAATTGGATTTTGGCAGAAAATTTGGGTTTGAAGAGATAAAGTGAGCTTTATATAGAGAATACAATTTTCAATTGGGGAATAAAAAGAACTGAAGAAACTATTGCACGGATGAGTTGGATCTGTAATTGCCCAAAGGAGTGATGGTGGTTGTGGTGGAGAAAGAGGCGGGGGGTAGGAGTGGAGAATGTGGATCACTGGTTCTGAAAGGCCATTAACCTAAATTTCAAAAAAAAAAATCTTGGAGTTGGTGGTGGATGAGAGAGCGAGAGCAGAGAGGTGATGGTGGGTGAGGAAGGAGATTTGAGGCGGTGGTGGGGGTGGGAATTGGTGACGGAGGAGAGAGGTGATGGTGGCGGCGGAGGAGGGAATGGTTGCAGAGGAGTTGCTGGTATGTAGTGTCGGTTTCAAGGGTATACGAGGTACGTTCGATGGTGATGTCGTCGTCACGTGAACAACTGAGAACTCTTGGTAATCGGCCAAAAAAGGAAGGTCGTCAGAGTATCTGATGTAATCGTCGTCGAAGGATCGAGACTATAGTGTCAACAGTAATACACTGTATTTGTGTGCATATATATATACACACCCACACACACCCACACACACACACACACACACACACACACACACATATAACATCTTCTAAACATGTATCCGATGAATAATATGAATGAAAAAGTAACTCTTTAATTGAAGGGCATTTTTGGTATTTTAAAATTTTTGTCTAACAACATTGACTGTCCACTAACAAATTTGGGGTTGGCTGCAATTTCATCATACCTCAAGGGAGGTTGATTCAATTTTTGTCGGAACTTTCATCTTAGGGTAATAAGCTCAAACCCCAGGGGAGGTCAGGGTAAATTACCCTTAATTCTAATACAAAATTGTGCACTTTAGTTTAATATATAGTTCATGTAGATAGATATTTGCTCATCCACGGCAGTGCAAGGGAGAGTTGTATACTGTGTTTGGGAATAATTAGTTCTAAAATACTCTATTTAATCATATTAATGTTCTTCGTTCACTACATTTTGTCATTGTTTGGTATATACAGTCACAGACAGTATTAAGAGTTCTATCTTTTATTGTCGCCTATTTATGATGCATTTATTAAACTTTCAGGACTTTAAATTTTCTCAAAATTCAAATTCTTGAAATCTGCAACAAGTGAAAGTTGACATTAATGACAAATGAGTTCACCTTTGTTGTCTTTGAAACCCATATTGTTAGGCCACATTTTACTAGCCAAAATTCCTTAATTCAGCACTATGTATCCAATTCTAACATTTTTTTTATGTATGAGTAAGCGTTCTCTCCAGGTACAAATCTGTTTGTCTTATTCTTCTCGGCTTTGGTGGATTGTTCAGGTTGGAGGAACCCATATTAGAGTCGGTGGAATGGCAAAAGGTTCTGGGATGATCCATCCTAATATGGCTACGTTGCTTGGCGTATGTTTCTTTGATTATTTTCTCTAGTTGATCTACAAAGTGTCTATTCGTATTCCATTTTAAAATGATATTATATCCTCCAGGTTATAACAACTGATGCCGTGGTTAGCAGTGATGTTTGGAGGAAGATGGTGTATATTGCTGTTAACCGAAGTTTTAACCAAATTACTGTAAGCTACCTTAGTTGTTTTAATTGGTGATATCACCATAAAGAGCTTTGTATTTTTATACATATTTTGCTACTTGAAATGATAATTAGAGGAATTTAAGAACCTTCCAGTCTTATTATTTGATTCTTTATTTTTTTGTTGAAATAATGTCAGAACTTTATTATTATTATCAGGGTTAATTACAACGACACCCCCTGAAGTTTGCCGTATTGACAAGTATATATAAGTTAGCCCATTTTTTGACAATGAGACCCCCTGAAATTTGGTAAAGTTGACAAAACACCCCTATACCCTGACACAAAAAAAACATGACTAATTTATCCTTTGACTTGTCAATTAAATCATTTAGATTTTGAAATTACAGAGTTAACCTTCTAACTAATTTTAATTAACCAAACTTACCATTCATCAGTCATCACTACAACTGTATACATACACCGTATACATATATGTGTGTATATATACATATATCATCTCCTCTTATATATATATAGATATATATTTAGAGAGAGAATGGGAGAAGAAGAGGGTGGTTGCCACCTTCATTGGCGTCACACCACCATAGCCACCATCACCATACCGCCACCTCCACCAACGCCTCTCTCTCTACTCTCTCATCTTCACGGCGCCGCCACACCCACTCCCACCACCACCACATCACATCCCTGCCACTAGGGATTTAGCCGATGTCTCTTTTTGAAAAACTTTAGTCGAATATAGATGTGAAACCTAAGAAATTGAGGAAGAAGCTTACCAAACACCAACCATTTTTGGATTTCAGAAAGGTGTCGCTCGCTGTCACAAACTTTGTCCAACTGAAAAGCCAAATCAGCGCGAGAGAATCAAGCAAAGAAGCCGGACTGGGATCGGGTCTCCCCATGAGACGACAACAGATCAGAAAGCGAAGAATAGGAATTTTGGGATCATATATTTCTCCAAACAGTCGATCAAGGAGCCCAATGAACTCAGAGCATTAGGAGCCTCAATTAAGCAGATGCTAAGCGTTCCACCTGTGGACCTTGCCGTGCCGATCCGATTGAAGAAGATTCACCTCACAATTGTGTACCAATTCGGGAGGATTGGTGAAGAGCTTGACGAATATGGATTTTTTGGGTTTTTTTTTTTTGGAGCCAGAGGGAAGAGAGAGAAACCTATTATTTTATTCAGGAAAATATATATATATATATATATATATATAATTTTAAAAGGGTAATTATGTTATATATATATTTTTTGATATTTTATTGAAGGGCAATCTTGTCTTTTCACAACTTTTAAGGGCTTGTTTGGCTTAAATTTCTGACAGGGGTGTGAGTGTTCAAAAAATGGACAACTTATATATGCTTGTCAATACGGCAAACCTCAAGGGGTGTCGTTGTAACTAACCCTTATTATTATTATTCTTAATGTTCTTTTTATAGGTAAGACCATAAACAACCCCCACCAACCCCACCCCACACCCCCCCCACCCTCCCCCCCCCCCCCCCCCCCCCCCCGGCGGGGGCGCCCCCCTCCTCAGTGGCCCTTCTTGCTAATTCTTTAGAATGTCATAACATGCAGTCACTCAAGTAAAACTTCTTCTTCATGACAGGAAAAACTTTTAATAAATGTTTTTTATCGCTTAGAAAAGTTAAGAGGCCAGATGAGTGTTAGATTGCACAAACGTTGGCTGTATTTAGGGACTGTCAGAAATGGGGAATGGTTCTTCTTCTTCTTCTTCTTCTTTTTTATCCCTTGGTTGAAACTCACACTCCTACTTGACCCATGTTGGGACTTGAACTCTTGACCTTCTACTTTAGAAGGCGAGGAAGTAAGGAAGTCTCAGGGTGGGTGTTATATTTTACAATTTATGTTTTTAATTTCATATGGTTCATAAATCTTGGGATGCAACAGTTATTCTCTTGATCACCATAGCCAAATCTTGAGAAAGCATTTAGTCTCAGAATCATGATTAAGTATTTTCAATGGTATGCCCTGATACAAGAACCATTGTTGAAACCTCTAATATCCTTGTAACATATTTGCACGTGTATAGTCTGGTTTGTTTTCATAATTATGTCTTCTCTGCATGCAAATTAGTGCCCAGGAAGTGTTAGAAAATGCATGTAACTCTTTGCCCTTTGGACGTAGTTTAGTTAATCCCACATGGTAGGCATGTGACTTATTTTGAGTTAGTAGGCCTAAAGCTGTTCTGGATATGCTGCAGGTGGACGGAGATACAAGTACCAATGATACTGTGGTTGCTTTAGCTAGTGGGCTCTCTGGATCGAATATAATTACTTCTTTGAACAGTCGTGAGGCAAATCAATTGCAACTGTGCCTTGATGCAGTATGTCAGTTGACTTTTTAACTTCATTCTTACAACTAGCTTAGAGGCCAGAATTTTCCGGTTTTGACCTTCCCTCCAGCAGAATTTACAGAAAAATTAACATACCTCTCTTTTCCAGGTAATGCAGGGTCTTGCAAAATCAATTGCTTGGGATGGAGAAGGAGCAACATGTTTGATTGAGGTCTGCATCTTTTTCTAAAATTCATTCATGCAAAGTTAACCCTAACCCATATCATTCATTTTTACTCCAAGAACAAACTATAACACCCAAGTATGAGTCACTTGTTCAGTTCTTTTTTCTTGAGAGTTGCAACTGGCACGGGATATGCAAATGCAAAGTCAAGTCATAACCCCCGGCAATTAAGTTCAAATTACTGAAACAGCATTGATTATCTTAGAAATAAGCATGAAAAGCTCAAATTTATATTATCCTTTATTGTTTTCCCTCTCAAATATGTTAGGTGATCCTTCCATATCTTTAATCTCTCTCTCTTTTGTGTTTGATTATTGAGTGCTCTGGATAACTTTTAACATCCTGCAATTTAAATTTCGGTATTTGAAGGCTATGATCCTGCAAGCATTTCTAATCTTTTTAGTTCTGTTATAATTGAAATTTCATCTGTCGGTTATGTTGTTGTTGGACATGAGTAACTGGACATTATTATTGATACGGCTTTTGTTTATTAGGAAGTTGGGCTCAAGTTCTAAACTTCTAATATATATCATCAGGAGGATACTAAATTAGCCAGCTAATTTTAAATTAGATGTGCAGGTCAACGTAAATGGTGCAGGCAGTGAAGCTGAAGCTGCAAAGATTGCACGTTCAGTGGCATCTTCTTCACTTACCAAGGCATGATATGTGTACTCACATAAGTATCCCTCCTTATCTGATGTAATTTCATGTATTTGATGTTTCTGTTTAGCTAATTATATTTTCTGTGAATCATGTTGTTAGGCTGCTATATATGGCAGGGATCCAAATTGGGGACGCATTGCTTGTGCTGCTGGCTATGCAGGGATTCTTTTTGACCCAACCAAGCTCCGAATATCACTTGGTGATATTCTGCTTATGAATGCTGGGCAACCTCTTCCATTTGACAGGTAAGAATGAGGCTCCACCTCGATTTGCTCTTATTCTTTGGCATAATAAGTAATTTTATTTTATTTCCAAAAATGTTGGTAGAAGGATAAAGTTGTTAGGGGAGAGTGTGTGATTGTGACTTTTGATCTTTTAAATGTTTATTTATTAATTTTTGTTTTTAAATTTACCTGCAATATTGAGACTCCAGACCCTAGCCACTCTGTCCAAAACCTTTGCAGCACACACCGGTTTTTGAGATTTCAATGGAAGGATATTATCCACCGTTTCACTGTAGGTGGAAGGGTGACTGCTTTATTTCCAGTGGCATTTATGCCATATTTTCTTGAGAACTGTGAATAAGTCTCCATCTTCCCATCCTTGTGTCAAGCTGGGATTCCAAGCCTCTGGATTTTTTGGATGGTATATTCTTTCCACAGGTTAAGGACACACTTCTTAAATCAGTTTTACGTACAAAAGATGTGGTTTGACTTGATTCATGATCAATTTGTTGCTCTTTCCTACTGAATTATTAAACTCAACCTTGCTGTCCATTCTAATTTTAGTTTTGACCAACTCTATCAATTCCATTCTGAACCAGCCTGTTTGGCCCGAGCATTTCACCTCAGTTAGAAACCGTTCTGACAATGAATGAATTGCATGCTGCAAGGAATTCTGATCAGTTGCAATCAATTCTATGTCATCTGGAACATTTGGATGTTGGAATCTCATTATGATTATCAGTCCAGAAACAAAGCCACATATTTATTTATCTCTTCATTCATCTTCTGATCTGAAACTTGACAAATCTGGAAGCCCCCATACCTCTTTGATTATATGTATCCCTGCAAGATATAGCAGGCTTCTTAGTTTTTTATTCTGTCAAAATACAAGCTAGCTAACTGAAGAGACCAGTTTTTCATTTCTTTCGCAATGTCATCTTTACAAGAGAGATAACAACTCATATGAGCAATTTGTTTTTTCCCTGAATTAATACTGAGCTATTTTATTTCTCGTTTCTTTTTTGTCTTCCTTTTATCTGTTTAAGGTTTTTCTTTTTTTCTTTTCTTTTTTCTTTTCCATAATCTAAGAATGTTGAGAATTTCCAGGGCTGCAGCTAGTAACTACCTTAGAAAGGCTGGTGAGACCCATGGTACAGTCAAAATTCAAATCTCTATTGGTAAGTTTCCAAGAAACATGCTGACATGAAGGATAGAAAGTTGCATGTTTATTTTAAGGACAGCATAGATTATTATCAAGTACCAAGTAAGATGCTTAATAATCACAAAAAAGGCTTTAGGCCTGCCTAATCACTCAGTTATCCAAGTACTACTGCTCTCCTTTGCTTCATGATAATTGCAATCTGACAAAGAATTTCATCCACGTGGTGATCTTGGGAAGTTTGCATTGGTCCATGAAGATATCTGACAAATATATTGTGTTCTTAACCATTATATATATATATATGTGTGTGTGTGTGTGTGTATGTATATAATGTTAGATGTATTACACCCACCCATCACTATTGTTGAGGTGGTGGTTCCTCGAGTGGGTGCGGGGGATAGAAGAGGTGGATCATTGGTGAAGCTCATCTCCTGATGTCTGCTTCAGTATGGTTGCTTTCTTACCCAGTAATTGGTTTTACTCCCGAGTTTGAGATTTGCATGATCTATGATTTTGTAATCGTCAATTTCCATTGTAGTTTTTTTTTTAAAAGTAAAATCACATGCTCAAAATCCACCACATCCCACATGATGGGATGAGGGGATATACCACTTGAGAGGCTCAGTGATTTGCATAGTGTTATGTATCTCTTTTTTCCATCATTTTGTAGTGAGTTGAGATGGTTGTAATGTTTTTGCAATTTTTATTTTTTTTAATGATTTTTTCTTAATTTACAATGTCTACTCTTTTTCAGGTGATGGGCCAGGAAGTGGGCTAGCATGGGGCTGTGATTTAAGTTATGATTATGTAAAAATAAATGCTGAGTACACAACTTAGAAGATTTCTATTATGTGTTCTGGCTTTCATTTCATGACTTAGAAGATTTCTATCACGTGTTCTGGCTTTCCTTGACTTAGAAGATTTCTATCACGTGTTCTGGCTTTCCTTTCATGTTATGATAACAACAGGACGCTTCTGGTACTGCAAATTGTAAAAGCGAGGTTTCTCGACTTCAAAGCTATTAGCTAATGATTGTCTCTCTTCTAATAAAAAATGCTTTTAGATTAATTAATGCAACTGCGACGATAATCTTATCTGATTTATAGATGTTAGTCGCAATTCTGTTGTTGACCCCCAGTTGTCATCTGCACTACACTTCTTTCAGCAGTGCAACTTAAGAACCATTTCATGTTACCATTGAGTGTTAGACAGTGTGCTTCCCCTGTTATATGTGGGGTTAATGGTAGGAAAAAATAAACACAAAACTATTATTCAAATTATAAAATAAAAAATAAATAAAAAATAAAAATAAAAAAATAAAAATAAAAAACCTCTCTCAATCAAAGCCACATAGACAAATAATTTACCTGCATGCTATAAGTAAACGGTTGAGTAATTTAAAACTTAATATGACAGTTTCACGGTTATCAACTAAAGCACTGCATACCTTTCAAAACCAAAAAAACAACAAAACAAGAGCACCGCATAGGAACAGTCGAACAGTAAACGGAGTAGTAATTTAGAACTTAAATATGACAAAGTTTCATAGTTATCAACAAAAGCACTGCATAGGAAGATAGTCAAGCCTTCGAAGCACCGGTACCACCGTTGAACAGAAAATAATGCCTTACAACGCACAATTATTTATCTACACTGCGTGTGAAAACGGATGACAAGATCACTCCAACCACAAATTTACGAATCTACACTGCCGGTCAAAAGGATGACACACGAAAGGGGGAAAAAAACAGCATACTGTAAATAATGGATTACAAGGCCTCTGCAACAGAGAAATGCATCTTTGTGACTGATTTCTTGAGAAAACTACTGCCAGTGTGAATCTGGAATGCCAACATCAAAATCCACAGGGGCCACACAAGTCTCATCACATTCAACCAATCTGCCATTGCTATTGAACGATTTGAAACACTTCTTAGAACTAACGACATACTGCAAATGATGGATTACATAGCCTCTGCAACAGAGAAATGCATATTTGTGACTGATTTCTTGAGAAAACTACTGCCACAGTGTGAATCTGGAATGCCAACATCAAAATCCACAAAGTCCACAGAAGTCTCATCACATTCAACCAATCTGCCATTGTTATTGAACGATTTGAAACACTTCTTAGAACTCCCACCAGATTTCTGAACCTGCTTTCTGTCTTCTCGGGTAGGTTTGCCCTTGCCCTTCTGTCTGTTCTTTCCATTCTTCTTACCACCTCTCCTCTGCCGTTGTTTCTTGTTTGTTGGAACATGTGACACTGATGTAGGAGGAGGATCGTACACATCAGGGTCCCATGTAACAGTCAGCTTCTTCGGTGGTATCCCCTGTTTCTCACGGCTACCTTTCATGGCAGATACAAGCTTCAAAGTAGTCTGTAAGAAAATAAAACATGAAGGAAAGGACCAGATGCAGCTGTTAACGTAGTTCATCTACCACATATTCTTCTCAAAATGGGGCATCTTGTACGTTTAAATGTAATTATCTGCTCGAGATTACCATGATATATTTCACCACTAAAAGGCTAAGAAACAAAGATACTTCCATAAGTCATATCCACAAACATTTGAATTCAATACAGAGACTAGACATGTTTGATACTTTGATCTTGTATTAGACATTCTACTTATAGATGCCTTGCCAGTCTTAAATATCAAAATGCAGGTATTCTAGAACAATAACAATAGCATAATCATTAGACAAAAGGGGCCTCGTTTGCGCATGCAGTGTTGTTTTGTTGCAAAACATAGAAATGGCAACAAAAACAAGTTTGGGGTGCACTTTTTTGTTTTATTTTAGTCCAAAACAAATCACAACACAAGGTAGAATTTTTTTTTTTTTTTGGTAAGTAACACAAGGTAGAAAAATGAAAGCAAAAAACGGTTCTTTCATATGTTTTGAGTAAAAAGATCAGAAACATGGGACTTGAATTTAGTGGGTTACTGCGCAGTTAAGTGAAGGGGTATAAATTTTGTCCGTCAAACGCCCCTTTTGCCTCTCATTTCTTTCTGTCCATTCTCTATTTACACGCTCTCTCTCACCAGACTCTCTCACACACATACCGACAACCCTCACCTTGCAGCGTTCTGGCAAATCTTGGTCCGACGAGATGCCGGAGCTCATCGGCTGCATTTTCCGACGAGCTCCCACCACCAAATCTTCTAAGCTATTGGTCAGATGCGTTGAGGAGTTCAAGAGAAAAGGAATCAAATCGATTTGTTGAAGGAGGTGGATGCACTTAGGAGGGCTGAGAGCTTGCCAGTTGAAGCCAAAGGGGTCCGAAAATGGTCAGCTAGGGACTTTATGACTCTTCTTTTGCATTGTATCTTGCCTGGCTCTTGCTCCCACAAGGAATATTCTCTGTAATTAGGCTTTTCAACACATCTCATCTGATGGCTAGGGTTTCCCGATAGATAAAACCTACTGTTCAAAGAATTTATTAGTGGGTCACAAACTCACAATCATTGGCTTGAAATGCTATAAACTTTGGAATTTTTCCCTAATTGTAGTTGTGCTTTTGATCTTCATTTCTTTATGCTCAGTGATTTGTGGTTTTTGTATATTAGCGGTAGTAATTATTGGCATGCAATCTTCATATATGTTTGCTTATGGCTGGATTGGTATTTTCCCAGTGCACTTATTTCTATTGGAACTCCATACTTGTTTATATTTTCCATTCTTAGTTTGTATTGAGAGAGAGGGAAAGCCTTGACCCAACAGTAAGGGTGCTCTATTGCAACCTAAAGATCACGAGTTCGAAACAAGGAACCTGCCTCTCCACATATGGAGGTAAGGCAACATACATCTAACACCCTCCCCAGACCCTGCAATGGCGGTACCCTCATGCACTTGATTTGTCCTTTTTTCAGTTTGTATTGACAGAGTGAGGGAGAATTTACACCTTCCCCAAAATGCAAAAAGACATAAGAAGCAAAAGAGAACACGGCACTAGCGAGCACACCTCTCAGTGCCCCTCACTCTGTCAATGCAAAATTTAAAAGACAGTCGTCGCACGTACAAGCTTCCAATAAAATCTGAAAACACGGCACTAGCAAACACACCTCTCAGTGCCCCTACAAGTCGATAAAAAACTGAGAGACATGTACCTCCGACAAACAGAAAACAAGAAGCAAACCCACTAACAGCTTTATAGTACCACATCTAACAACATCATGATCATATTATCCTAAAAGAATATACACTGTTTAGCAAAGCCTCACTATTTTAAAGACTGAACTGAAAGTGACAGATGATACTAGAACATAAAACTCAACTCTCTGTCTTACATCAGAATAACTTGATGGAAATCTAAAGAACAGCATACGATAATATAGTGATATTGTTCAATGACAAATTTCAAGAAAAATTGAAGTGCAAACTTACAGGAGAAGGTATGGGCTGCGAATAAGTCAGCTTAGCAGATTCATTACCGTCTTCTTTCAACACTGCAGCTGTTATCTCATTTAAATCACCTTCATCTTCCTTGTGCACAGACACAGCGAAGGAAGTTTTCTCACAAGAACATGAAAACTTGGCACATTTGCTCAAGCACTTGTCAGAGATAACAAAGGTCAATTTAGTACTACAAGCCTTTTCACATGAATCCTTCTTCTCCGCATTGCTGATATCATTCTTGTCAGAATGTGGAACCGAAATGGAGCTTGATGCTGATTTGTGATCATCTTGAATATGTAAAAACTCGGTTAAACCATCACTGATATCATTCCAAGAGAGGCCTCCCCTGTCACCATAATTACATAGTGCTCGATTCAGAGACAACTGCTTCAAGTCATGAGACCTGTTTAAATCTTCTGAAACTGACATGTCCAAAGGACAGCTGATGTCCATTGATGGAAAGCAGAAGCCAAAAGGAGAAACTGCGAAAGCAGAAGCCAAAAGGTGAAACTGCAAAAGCAGATAAATTCAAAGGTGAGAACACATTAGTGAGCAAGAATCAAATAAATACGGACCAAAAAAAAAGTTGTCCATCTAAAAGGTGACCAAGCTTTTATAAGCGAAGCAGGTAATTCAAATTATTCAAGAAATTTCACATCTAAAAAAGTGGACAAACTTGTTAAATGTCAGATGGCAATTTTCAACAATAAAATGGAAGAAGGTAAAAATAAATAAATAAAAATTAATCCATCAATTGATATACCTTAGTATTTAGGCCTTGTCATTTATCATTATACTATCTTCTTCTTTTTTTCCAGTAAGTATCATTAAACTATCTGTCTTGACCTTTGTTGAGGGGGAAAAAGAAAAGAAACAATAAGATTCTTATTTTGGATGGTCCAATATTTGATCATGATATTTTTGGTAGCAGACCAAACCAATGGTCTACCTTGTGGATTTTCTTTACCAATGTAGATGAACCATATGTGAAGTAGCGATAGAGATAACAACTGCCCTGTTTATGAGATCAATCTATATTAGTTCATAATTTTGCTTAAACAGAACCCATCACAAACAGTAAGAAATTACAACTGGATGAGAAAGAAGTGTGGGTGTTAACTGGAACTAACCCACATTATCACCAAGCCAAAGCACTATTCCAGACCATCTATTTCTTAGGATTCAGACTCAGTCTGAGTGAGCCCAAAAGACCCCAACTCACTTTCTTTTTCTTGTGACCGAGTGCAAGTAAATCAATCAAGGCCAAAAGCCAAACTCACTTTCGATTTGCTAACTATGCCACCTTGTAACAATGCACGGACGTGATTAGGTGCATTTAGAAAGCATATTAGCAAGTTCTCCAGTTCAAAGAGGCAAAGAAGAGATAAATACACTGTTTTTTCCACTCTTACTAAGACAAGCCAGGCATTAGTAAATAATGTATCTTCAACAGTTTCACCTTTAAAAGTACTACCATGGGTACAAAATACTAGCTGGCAACAAAAGCTAGTATATAATTGGGAAATAAGCTCCTTAATATATGATAGGAGTTTGGAGGGCCTTTTAACGACTCAAAAGTCCTCCTCAACTTCAAAATTCATTGGAGGGCTTCCTAAAGCCTCAAAAGACCTTCTCAACCTCAAAATTCATTCTATAGAAAAATGTGACATTTGGCTTCACATATAGGAATGACTTCTTCATGAAGTCCATCTTTAGGAAGTTTGTTCAAAAGAAGCAATAAAGAGTTTCTTCTAAAACCTCCTTTTTGAAAGCCAAATTTCTCATTTTCATAACTTAAAAAATAAATAAATAAATAAAATATAAAAAAATTCATTCTTATAAATTTTCACTTTTAATACTTAAATAATGATGTCATTGTCCCATTCCTTTAGAAACACCTAGAACAATTGTACACAATGCCACCATGACGCTTCCAGAACATCCCTGGCCAGCAAGAATAAGGAAACTTCTAAAAACCTTCCTTGCCAACAGCTATAATGAAACCTTCCTTATCTGGAAATGAAACCCATCACATGAATGTTTCTTGGACAATATCCTATAGCCACTCCTTCCCAATATGTATATATATATTACAAATCCTGTATACGGTATGGATGAATCTGTTGTATTAAATTAGCCACCCAGAGTTCACATATTTCACAAGTCCCACACCAGGAATATATGAATGCATCCGCGCACAGACTAGTATAAAATCAAATTTCAGTGGATGAAGGTTGACAAAGTTTCTTTCAAGTATTTATCAATATATATTCTGAAGATCAGTAATCTGAATAAAAATTACTGTTTTGAATGAAATCCATGTGCAGCTAAAACACAAGCACAAGGTTGTGCATTTGTTGAAGGTGAAATATTTCCTAATACTAGCAAGGATTTAGGATTCTTATCTGATGCAAAACATTGCTACACTCGATGTAGAACTCCTACATTTGACTTTTAACCTCTAAAGTAACAACTTTTTCGCATTATGTTCAATGAAAGAAAAGTAATAAGTAACAACTTTTTCGCATTATGTTCAATGAAAAAAAACATAATAACTGATCACAGAAGCCACATAGCCAAATGTAGTACATTTTAAATCACAAGATGAAGTACAAGAGTTGACAAGTACGTACAAACATTTCAAAATATGCATGAGATTATTTTCAAAGGCTGTATCAAGTAAACAAGAACCTCCTAGCAGCTCGAGGAGCATATAGCAGCATTCCAAAAATCATACATTTGAATTGTCAGTGAAAAAAAAAAATGAGAAGGGAAAAAAAACTATAACAATACAGACTTAATTCGGAATGGAAAAATTGGATTCCTGAGCCGACCTGAGTTGAGTTGAATCTCAATAGAGACTTCCTTTTTTGAATGTGCAAATATCATAGAATCTATAAATTTTGGACTTGGTAAAGAGCCCATGTAAATATGGTCAACAAGTCAATATAGCTACATAATGCACAAGTGAAAAACGAATCTGTGTATTCTAAAAGTATATGCACCATCAGCAGAACTTCAAAATAAGCATGACATAACCTTTCCTTTTGTTTCCGTCCCTTTCTTCCTTCTCTTCTCCCACGTCCAAACAGTCCATTGATGTTGAACATGGAGAGAAGGTTAAATCTAGAGGCATTTTGTCGGACTGTGTTGACTGTTGCCAAGATCTAATGTGTTTTTAAAGTTCTGCTGACGGTGCATATACTTTTAGGATACACCAATTTGTTTTTCACTTGTGCCTTATACACACACTACCTGATGGTAAAAAAACTATAAATAATCAGAAACAAAATCAGGGGAATGAAATTACCTTTGAAGCAATATCAAACAAACCCTCCAAGCAATTCAGAATTCTTGGGACCTCGCTGACGAAATCAATACTGAGAGAAACAGTTCACACTTCGAAATGGCTCGATTTCTGATTCTTAATTCTTAGCAACTAATCGGATTCTCTACTAGTGTAGATCGTGAACGACAGTGGAGAGAAAAGGAAGCCCTAAAGTAACAGTACAAGAAAGTAAGATGTTAACTAAGATTACCACGACGATCACTTTTTTCCATACGTTTCAGACGATGAGAACACAAACCACCGTAAAAAGACGTCAGATACGGAATACCAGGTCCAGTACGCAAATCAAGAGCGAGCACCGAAGGCATTTTTCGATGCTCCTTGAACCCCAAAAACCCCCAAATCACGCGAAAACCCTAACCCTAATCAGAGAGATCAATGCACATACTACGAAGAAAGCAGGTCGATTTCGATAATAGAAACAGAACACAGAGCGGTCGCTTTGTATCAGCCCATGGGAATCGATCGCCGTTGATGAGAAACTAAAATGATGAGAAACAGATGTGGATTTGCAACGAAGAGACTAGCGTAACTAAGGCTTGTGATGGACTATATATATTTAATTTATTTTGTACTGTATTATATGTATTCGTGTGTGTAATATGTAGATTATTTATAGATCACATAGAGCCGGGTCAACGGAAAAAGCTAAAATCGGAAGACTCGGAACAAGATATTTGCTGTTTAAATTAAGACAGGTCGTGATCAAATTAGGCTTGGTGTGTGTTTGGATAAAGAGAAAAAGGAAATGGAATAATTAGCATTGATTTGCTGATTGGGTGGGTAATCGTGAGAGAAAGAGGAAAGTGTTACTATCCCAGTCTCGAATTAAATGTCGTTTTTAATATTTGTGACTTACATATTATATATATATATATATATAAATAAAGAAAAGTATCTGTTTGTAATATTTGCTAGTCAAACCATCTTATCTCTTTGTTATGAATCCAAATATAGTATATATATATATATATATATATTTCACAATTAAAGAAAATAATCCATTCTCAACAACAATCAAAAAAAATAAAAATAATAATAATTCATTTTCAGAATATTATTGAATACACGCGTGTTTACATATCTATACGGATCAATTTAGTATAGAATAAATAATTAAAATAATATTTTTATCTTAGAAATTTATATTTTAAATATCTCATAGTAGTCCTGTAATTAATTAACGTGTAATTTTAAGAATATTAACCAAATAGGAGCGCACTGTGCAAAGAGAGTCGTTCTTGCTACTCCCTTTTTTGTTCTTTCATTGAAAGAGGGCTAATATAGATTGTATTAACTCTTAAGTTGATTTAATGATAGTTGTTCTTGCCTTAGAAAAAACCAAACAAACAAATGTACCCATTTTGTATATGTTTTTATGGAATTCATATATTGCTCACTGTTTTCTTTTTCTTGCATATTAAAACAAAATTGACAAATTAAAACTTTAAGAAGTTCAAATTTTTATGACTTCTTCGTAATTATAAAATGAATCAATTTCATAACTACCAACGATTAATTAATAATTATTGAGAAAATTTTTAAAAGAGTTGAAAAAATGAATCTAAATTGCTAATTTGATACTTCCAAACATATAATTAAGATCATATAATAGGTTATTGAAAGGATAACCTTTATATTAAACCAAAAATAAAAAATAAAAAAATCAGACACCCCATGTTAGTGAGGCCCTTTAACATTGTTTACTTACCTAATTTCCATCCCCAATTTTAAATCTTCTCTTTTAAAAATAGAAGGGTCCAGAGCTTAATGTCACGCCCCACCTATGAAGGTTGTGCCACGCAGGCGACACGCAGACGCTGAGGAGGACGCTGCATGGCAACTGCATGGCAAGTGGAGTTTCTAGAGTCTTTCGGAGTAGTCTAGAGTTGTGTGAAAGATTCTAGATATGTGTAGTATATTCTAAAAGTGTGTGGAAGGTTCTAGAATTCTCCAGAATTGTGTGGAGTAGTATGGAGGGTTCTAGAATGTTGTAGATATGTAGGGAGATGTGTAGAAGGTGGAAGAAGATTCTAGAGAATCAATCTCCACCGTTGGTTAGAATGCATCCTAGCCATCCATTACGGATGGGGATGCCTATAAATAGGAGTAGGACTTCATTTTGCAACCAACAAGTCCTAGAGTGAGTTTTGAGAGCTTTGTAGAGAGCTTGAGTGCTAGCCTTGTACAAAGTATTCTTTGAAGTAATAGAAGTGTTCTTTCCTTGCCAACTTAAGTGTCTTAGTGTGTGTGAGTGTGCAAGTCAAGTGAGGAGAGGGCAGGGGTAACTACAACACTAGTAAGCGCACGAAGGGAGTGTGTTAGCTAAGGTGTGCACGGGAGTTAGGCTGACCAAGTACTTGCGAGAGTGGAAGCAACGTCTTGATGCCGCACGGGAGCAGCTAGAGTGGTGCTAAAACTCTAAGCCCGTGACATTTGGTATCAGAGCAGGTTCGTCAAGGGAGCTTTGTTGGAGTAGACATGGCTAGCGGAGGAGACCACCAAGTCCACGTCTTGGAGCAGAGCTTGGAGAAGAAGCTTGCCACACACTTAGTCTACACAGAGACCAAGTTTAACAGGCTCGAGAGAAAGATGGCGGAACTCTATGAGCTGATTGACGGCATTGCCAACAAGGCGTGAGAGAAGGAAAGGGACTTGTATGATTAGGTAGACGACTTGCGCATGGAGATTGCCGAGTGCAAGAAGGAGCTCTCCCAGGCGCGCGAGGTCGTGGTGAAGCCAAGGAAGAAGAAGGCGCCGGAGCCCAAGGAGTACGATGGGGCAAGGAATGCGCGCCAGATTGACAACTTCTTCTGGCACATGGAGCGGTACTTCGAGTGCATGGAGATCGAGGATGATCAGGAGAAAGTGCAGACAGGCACTATGTACCTCACGGGCACTGCTGCTCTATGGTGGAGGCAGCGCTTCACCGGTAGAGGCGCAAGAGCAGTTGACACATAGGAGGAGTTCAAGAGGCAGCTCAAGAGGCAGTTCTATCCCGAGTGCGTTGAGGACCTCGCCATGATCAACCTAAGGCGCCTGAAGCAGAAGGGCAGCATAAGGGAGTATGTGAAGAAGTACTCCAACTTGATGCTGGAGATCCCAGAGATGCCAGAGCGGCAACGCGTGTGCTTGTTCATTGATGGGTTGCAGTCTTGGGTGGCCACGGAGCTGAGGAGGAGGGAGCTTAGAGACTTGGCATCCGCAATGGCTATAGCGGAGCGCCTTGAAGACTTTAGGCGCGATGACAAGAGGGCCACGTCTCCCAGGAGAGACCACGGCAAATGTGGGGAGACCAGCGCTTCAAGAAACGGGGCTCGCCCAAGTCCAGTGATGATGAGCACAGCGATGAGGAGAGACGCCCGCGCCATGATAAGGGCAAGGACCATGGAGAGAGGTCCAAGGCTAGTGGCAAATGGGAGCGCCGCGATAAGGGTAAGTGGGAGCCGAAGTGCTACTTGTGTGAAGGGCCGCACATATTGCGACACTGCCCCAACAAGAAGACCATGAGCGCCCTTGTGAAGGATAAGGACAAGGGCAGGGTGGACGATGTGGGCAGCGATGAAGATAGGTGCATGGGGGCTATGCAGAGGCTGAGTAGCATAGTGCATGACACCAAGAAGAAGGGCAAGGCAAAGAAGGTAGCTGGGATGCGCTATGTGGATGCGCAGGTTGGTGGCAAAGCCGTGTAAGCGTTGGTAGACACGGGCGCTACACACAACTTCATTACCCCGAAGGAGGCACAACGACTTGGCTTGGAGATGCATAAGACGGAGGGCTGGATCAAGGCCGTTAACTCCGAGGAGGCACGCGTGAGTAGAATGTGCAAGGAGGTGGAGCTATGCATGCAAGGATGGAAGGGCAAGGCTGACTTCCAGGTTGCGGAGATGGACGACCACGACATGGTGCTGGGGCTGGAGTTCATGGATAGGAACAACGCCGCGCCACTACCATGCCTTGGTGCGTTGATGATACTTGGAGGCGAGGAAGGCAAGGCCGCATGCATGGTGCCGCTCGTGGGCAGGAAGGAGAGTCCAGAGGTGGCAATCAACACGATGGAGCTCGTGAGGACCTTACATCTCCCGAAGGGTGCGCGTACATTTGGGCCAAGGACATATGCGCAAGTGCTGATGACCTGCGAGAGGCTGGGTCAGCTGAAGAAACCGTGACGAGGGCGTCACGAAAATGGGTGGGGGAGAATGTCACGCCCCACCTATGAAGGTTGTGCCACGCAGGCGACACGCAGACGCTGAGGAGGACGCTGCATGGCAACTGTATGGCAAGTGGAGTTTCTAGAGTCTTCCAGAGTATTCTAAAGTTGTGTGGAAGATTCTAGATATGTGTAGTATATTCTAGAAGTGTGTGGAAGGTTCTAGAATTCTCCAGAATTGTGTGGAGTAGTATGGAGGGTTCTAGAATGTTGTAGATATGTAAGGAGATGTGTAGAAGGTGGAAGAAGATTCTAGAGAATCAATCTCCACCGTTGGTTAGAATGCATCCTAGCCATCCATTAGGGATGTGGATGCCTATAAATAGGAGTAGGACTTCATTTTGCAACCAACAAGTCCTGGAGTGAGTTTTGAGAGCCTTGTAGAGAGCTTGAGTGCTAGCCTTGTACAAAGCATTCTTTGAAGTAATAGAAGTGTTATTTCCTTGCCAACTTAAGTGCCTTAGTGTATGTGAGTGTGCAAGCCAAGTGAGGAGAGGGCGGGGGCAACTATAACACTAGTAAGCGCACGAAGGGAGTGTGTTGGTTAAGGTGTGCACGGGAGTTAGGCTGACCAAGTACTTGCGAGAGTAGAAGCAACGTCTTGGTGCCGCACGGGAGCAGCTAGAGTGGTGCTAAAACTCTAAGCCCGTGACATTAAGCCTTGTCTAGAAAAACAAAATTATGATATTTTCAATTTTAGAACATATGTTATATCTCATATAGTCATACATCCTTTTTAAGTAACTATACCAGAGTTTTGTAGTCCAATGGTATCTTCTCTACCTTTAAAAGTGAATGGTGAGGGTTTGACTCTCCAAACGAGCAAAATGGGTGTGTGAATAGTGTGGTGTGTGTGAGTTTATTGCCAATAACATAAAATAAATAAATAATAATAATAATTGCACTCACACCCCTCCAAGTGGGGTTAAAGGCACCCAGATACAATTTGGACAATGACACCCCC